TGAAGATCTGTAACCATATTCGGAAGTGACGTCAGAACAGAACGTCGTAACAGAACATTTAAATCACAAATCCCTTTATACAGTGCGTACAATCAAGTGCGCGCCGCGGCTGCAATTTGCCGTGAGNNAGAGCACTCTGTCAATAGATTTTAGGCGAAGGTGAGGAGCACAGTATGTAACGACAATCCAGCATACCCAACTTGCTGTCTGTATTACTCACGTCCCCATTGGATGAATAGCTGCTTCCCCTCCGTGGACTGTAGTCCGCAAGCGAACTATACCGACCGAGCGACCGCCACTTGTCGGCGAAGTTAGTGCCAACTTTTGCGGATAGTGTGTGTCGCGTGGTCAGCGCAACAAATCCCCACGGCCGTTAATTTCGGTTTTATAAACCGGATCAATTATTTCCTTGAAATATCTAGTCAATTATCCTCACGAGGCTGAGTCGACTCCGTTCCAGACCCAGTACTTCTCAGAAAATCTGGTAGATCCGGGAATCGAACCGGGGACCTCAGGATCTGTAGCCAGGAACTCTGGCCACTCGAGCATAGAGGCGGTCTCGCTGCTTCCCCAGAAAATTATAATGAAAATTGTTTAACAACCTAAAGATTTTTCTTCTTGTTCACAAGTCTGTCCCGCGTTGAATCAATTGGATCAGTTTATATGATACGGAGCTTAAATAGGATGGGCTTCACCACTCTTCCGGACCAAAAGGCGTGACCCGCAATAACAATCTTCTGTTTCGAGACAAGCACGCATTCCGTGTTCGATCCGAGGTTACCACAGCGGTGACTACGAGAAGTACAAGCCTCTGGGTTTTAATATCGTGTAGTCCGGTACAAGTCCGCCGTTTCGGAAAAAAATATCGTCTACATTTTCAGTGCCAAAAAGTAAGAAAATTAGTTTAAGAATTTGCAAACCAGAAGATAGTATTCTTAAAGTAAACATTCGTGTCACAACAATATTTCTCGGTCATTCGCGATATGGCTTTCCTTTCCGGCGAAATTTGTTTCCCACAGCCACGATTAAAGTAATTTTTACTGCTGACAGTTTAACGGCCGGAGTTTAAATTCGGCTACTGGCGTTTAATATTTTTCCTCTTCACCTGTACATTCAGAACGGCTCTGGAGTCTACTCAACCCTCTATCGAACTCGACTGGGGATTATTTATCCTCAAGCAATAGCGACGGAGGCCCGGGGCGGCTTGTCACTCACCTCCACCTACTTCTTGCATTGAAAACGCATACAGTTTTACTGTGACGCCTCCATACGCCTGCATGGCATTATGACTAACACAGAATTAAATTTTAGCCTTATTGTTCTCGTCCTTACGATAAGCGGACTTCACATCATTCAATATCAGCAGACATGCCTGAAGTCAGCTGTGTAAATCGGAACTCAGATCTACACATTTTATTAAAGCTTATAAGGGAACAAAAATAAGGGTAACCTCCATGATCTCTTCCATCACAAAACGAAAGTTTTGACTGAAATAATTTCTGGGCGAGATTTTGTCATTTCTTGAATAGATATATGTATACTGGATACTATTCTTCACTGAAGACAATCGCTGGTACTTACTCAAATATGTGAACTACAAACTACCGCTTAGACCTATAAGAAGTGATTCGTTTGGTTTGGTGGGTTGCTAAACAAGATATAATCGGAGTTCAACGTTTAAAATATCTTACGGGTCGTAAACGATTGGCCTAGTATATCGGCTAAGTCCCTGCTACACCTGTTTCTACTTTCGGATAGTGCATGATGGCCACTGCAAGTTGTCCTCACAGATCGAACTAATGTATTTAAGCAAGGTTTCATTTTTATTGCTAGTGGGTTGAGACTAAGTCCCTTGTACTGCGGCAACTTCTGGCCTATTGTACCAGCCCCAGATGATAGGTGAGATTGTGGAGCAATTGGTGGAATGAACATTGGCAGGGGAAACCGAAGTACTCGGGGAAAAACTGCCCCGGCGACACTTTGTCCACCACAAATCCCACTTGATCAGACCCGGAATCGAACTCGGGCCGCCGCGGTGGGAAGCCAGCGACTAACCGCTTGAGCTTCGGCGCGGCTTTATGCAAGGTTAATCAGTGATGACAATATAATAATCTAAAAGTTGTTTTTGATGTTTTTTGTTATGTGAGTTATTGTTTTAATATTTATTATTATTTACTTGAATATCTTATGTACAGAGTACAGGAACCTAGCTGCGTCGGTTAGCATGAAACTCAGGGTAGCGATGCCGAATTAAGCGGTATTCAGGGTGTTCATCCAGCTTGATGTTGATTCACTTATTGTTCTCCAAACCACACTGTTTAATTTACTGCACGTTAATGCTTACAATTACAATTTATTAACTGATCTGCAAACTAGGTCGAAAACGAAAGGCAAAACCTATTTTTGTTTTTCTTCAGTGAAGTACCTAAGAGTAAAAAGTAGAAAGGCCGGTCACGGTAGCCGAGCGATCTAAGGCATGTACTTTCTTCGCTCGCTTGGAAACCGGGATCGTGGGTTCGAATCCCCACTCAGGGCATGGACGTTTAGTTTGTGTGTGTGCGTTTTTCTCTGTTTATGTACAGGTAGAGGCCTTGCGACGAGCTGATCACCCGCCCAAGGAGTCCTACCGAATGTGTACGATCAAGAAAATCCGAAATGAATGGAGAAGTTCATGGAGATAGGCCTAGGCCCACTGGGGCTGTCGTGCCAAGGGGGTAAAAAAAGTAAAAAAAGTAAAGCTATCCCTGTACCAGGCCGTGAAGGCCAATAGGGTTGTGAGACGTTGAGGGTCCCACACTATCTAGCCAACCGGCTCAAAGATGGCGGTAAGGTTGTCAGCCCTACGCGCGCCGGCTGCGCTTTACTCCCCAGGAAAATTATATTAATTCTAAGATTATCTTATGTAAATTATATAACAGATACTTATTTGGGCTCTTCGTGCGACATACAGTTTCAGAAAAATAGAGATTTTGTGTCTATCAGAAACGTATTTTTCAAATAATTTTATTAAAGACAGCAAAACAAATCTGGCCCGATCTGAATTACGTGTCTCATGTCTCAATTCAGCACTTAGAGCATGTATCAATACTAAACTACAAACGAACTCAGGAATGTCGAAATACGTTTCATTTGACGCAATACGATACTGGCTTCGACTTAAAACTCTATGTCACTATCCATATATTTCAATTCAGCGTTTATCCTCCGTCCAGATGCCACGTGACCCGTGTCAACGTAACCGATGACGTCAAGTTTAGGACCAGCATGTGGACAACCCCAGACACACATCACGGCCGTAAAAATACTGTACTGACATACAAATTTACTGTGTGAGAGGGACGTTTAGGTGGTTTTCTGAAAACACTGGGAATACATCTCTGCTTCTAACAGATATTCTTGTTTTCTGCATCACATGTCTGCCTCTACAACATGGAAGACGCGAACTACACTCGTATTTCTAATTTTCGAGTAACTGGAAGATGCTTTCGATGCGAGGCTTGTGAAGCAAAAGGAGGGTACCGGAACAGAGAAGGGGGCTGCAGTGAGATTCAGTCAGACCCTGCACCGTGATGCGGGCATACTAGACAGTACGCGGCTACGCTAACATGCTAACATGTTGCCACCCCGAGAGCATGTAAAAACATAGTTAAGAAACGCCTTATTTAGGAGTAGGTCTCTTTATTTATGTTTCTTGGGCCTGTACTTACCCAATGTCATAAATATTTTTTTCTAATTTCGCTCAGTGAGGGGTGGAATCCAACTGGGTCCACTCGGCACGGCGGCCATGATTGGCTTATTGTACCTTGCCCGGGTGATTATGATGATGGAGAATTTGGTGGAATGACGATTGGCAGGGGAAACCGAAGTACTCGGAGAAAACCCGCCCCAGCGCCACTTTGTCCACCACAAATCCCACTTGATCAGACCCGGGTTCGGACCCAGGCGGCCGTAGTGGGAAGCCAGTGACTAACCGCTTGAGCTTTGCGCGGCCTTCTAACGTTAGGAATAAATCACTTCCCTTGTTTTTATTAACTTATTATTAAACTATATTAACGAAGGTTGCTGCCTTTGTCAATTAGAACCAAAAAGGTGGGCTTAAAAAATGTTACCTACTGACAAGAGATATTTGTCCATATGTCTTTTGTTAATACTCGGAAATTTCTTGCTGTTTATTGAAATGTGTTAATAAAATAAGCAAAAAACCAAAATTTTCGGTACTTATAAACCTAACGGCATTCAAGAATCTGGTCTGGGATATAGAAACTAGAAATACATGACAAGAATAACTGAAGTACAAAGGCATGGCATATCCAAGTCATGTTCTATGCAAGCCTTCGAATTCCGTTTCCTAGCCGTGTGTATTACGGCGCCGCGTCACATTCGAATTACAAGCTGTCGACTCTAAAATACATTTCCATAATTCCCACTAGAACACTATACACTGACAGCCCAATATTTACCATTACGCACAAATAATATCCGTGTTACGGTATATTTTACCTTTCGAGTCGCACAAAATAGATTCTCATACGCGCACGTCAGTTTTATCACATTTCTTGGGAAGAATATCACAGACAAGCACTACGCAACAGAGCATAAAACCTTATTCAAACATGAAAGGGTCAAAAACTACTGTGTCCTCTGGACGTCTGACTTGCATTCCGGGGGTTCCCGGTTTCAATCTCATCCATGTCACAGATTGTCCTTACTGAGGAGTATCGAAGTTTTCTTTGTCTCCCAAGACAAATACCGTGACCATATCATAAGTTTGGCGTTTCAACATACTATTCAGTACCACCTGTAAGTCGTCGTGTACAGTTGCGAGTTACTGACAGCGTCCTTAAGTAAAGTATAACTGTAGAGCAATCATTCCACGCTTCGCGGATGGTTAAAAGCGCTACGTACAACTCACAAAGTGACTAGACAAACTGTTTATGGGAAGTTTTGTAGGGAGAATCTCACGCAGTTGGCACAGGGGCAAGAGGCCTGCTGGGACTCACCTGTTTGGAGAAGACTGCGATGTCCTCGTTGAAGGACTCGGAGGAACACACATCCCCTCCCGCGACTCCCGGCTCCCGGGGAGTGCATGTCGCCAACTCACATTTCTCGAAGATTAGAGCCAGCAGCGGGAACAATGGATGCCTGCAGTGAACACGTATAAATACAGCTAATTAGATACAGAGAATTAAAAATTACATCTATTTAAATTCTCCTCATGTAGAAAAGTACAGTGCGTACAATCAAGTGCGCGCCGCGGCTGCAATTTNTAAGCATATCACATGGATCTTATGTTAGTAATAACAAGTACCGTGTACAAGTTTCATTCCATGCTTCTCACAACACATGAGCCCCGTACAGGATTGGCGATATCTGCACTTAAACACGCAACAGACCTACACGATTGCTACTGGCTAAGAGATAAGTTCTTATTTCTAGGTCTACGGCCTTCCAGTATGAATGTGTTTCCTTTTCATAGGCATATAGCTTTTGGGTACGGGCGTTGTTTCCTCAATTTGGTAGCCGTTTCTAATCAACTCTAATTTACTGAAGATTTCAATTGCAATATTAGTCGTAATTAGTCTACCTTTTTTGGTTCGTTTTCGTCTTCCGTTCCATAGATTCAACAAATATTACTTTTTAACAAATGATAATGAGTACAATATTAAACATACATAAATATCTATACGCAGATACATATTTTGAGGGGAGAGGCCTGGGCGAGACACGGATCCTAACCTATACTGCTGAATGCGCGAGATCCCTATCAACAGAAAACATTATGCAGCGTTTATGTTTTGTCCGACGAGTGGACTTTAATTAAGTTACGTGAAAGTAATGTTAATTTCATATCACAGCCGCTGTACGCTTACACAGTGAACAGACGGTGTGGGGCAGAAGAAATCAGTTGCCAAACAATACGATTTAAAGCGTTAACAGATTAAATTATTGTCTCTTTGTACGGAATGTATGATTATATAGGCTCAAGTCTGGCGAAACAGTGGTCAATGTCGCCCGCCCACCGATCTACATGTCTCAGCACTGATTTTCCATATGAGGGAGGCTGTTTCGTCCTATTCATGTGTCATTATTTCTCTTCTAACAATTATACCTCATACGTTCACATCATTACACAGCGAATATTGCCCACATTTTACCTTGACATAAAAATTTTACGTAGCTGAGATGAAATTGCAAGTTTTTTTTTTTTGTTTCGTCTTCTGTGTTTCTCTCATCATGGAAATTATCGTAACCGCGCGAATAATAACAGCTGCAAAAATTGAGAAGAATAAAGCTTTTCGCAATTACTGGGCAGCAGAAACAATTCTCCCTGCGTCCGTACATCGAGTCTACCATTACAACATTAAGGTGAGAGAATAATAATAATTACATGCAACGAAATCGCCATATTTAAGTACGTACTTAAGTAACTTTAGTCCCAATACACAGTATCAAGGATGTCCAAACAAGACCCGAAACCCGATGATTTTAAAACGAAAGTGACAGAGGTACGATGAATTGCAAGATATTCAAATAACAGTCATTTGCTACTTCGCTGATCTTGAAACAACTGAAGAGTAATCTCGTCTCTTCACATCATGATTCATGCATTTTATTCTGTTTCACCTTATAATTGTAATCCGACATGCCTTACGGGATAAATTATTCGTGCTGTAACCCTCTAAATAAAAGACTGTACTGTGGTTCCCAAATTCAGACCAGGAAGGAAAGAGGTCACAATATACGTGTACAAGAGCAAACTATGTTCAACTCTGCAAGGCAGTGAATGTTAATAATACAAACAGAACACACACGCACGCACACACACACACACAGTCCCTTCATTGTAATTAGATGCTTGATAAAATATCAAAACACGCATGGCGGGATCTCTTATCTAGATTAGCGGGCCTCTGCGCAACCGGCAGCGTCTACACATTTATTTATGTATTTAAAACCTATGTAAATTTCTCCACCAAACATTCATGTTTCACTAATACCCTAATTAGACGTTTCTAAACATACATAATATGTGTAAGATTTGAGGTTTTCACGGCGGTGACTGAATAAAGCAGTCTTCTGGGATGTGGCACCATGTAGATGTGTTAACCGAGGTTTCGGAGGTACGTATCGCCTTCATCTTCAGGGTAGAAGGGAAAATAAGAAAATCCGCAAGCGAAGAGACCGTGAGAACCGGTACAAGCAGACAAGCTTGCGGATTTTATTTTCCCTTCTACCCTGATGATGAAGGCGATACGTTCCTCCGAAACGTCGGTTAGCACCACATCTACACGGTGCCACATCCCAGAAGACTGTTTTCTTCAAACATAATATGTCATTACTGCAGAAACTGTATACTCCGGCATTACAGATATTACGGGTGTATAGAACTAAAACCAACACGTGGTAAGCTATAAGCTTCATAACGACATTCTCAATGTTGCAAATGAGGTGATTTGTATTTTGCAACTGTATGGATTTGTGTGTGTGGGCCAATCCGACTGACCGACCGAAACAGAAACGGCAAATACATATTTATGTATGAGTTATGTTAGTATGATTGCACTCACATCTAACGCGCGCACACACACACACACAAACACACACTGCGATGTAGCAAGCATTGCTTTACTGGCTTCAGAATATTAGGGCTACATACAAACTCTTTATTCTGAGAGAACTTCGCACTTTCATCCCTCTATCATAGCGTATTATGAAATATTCACTAGGACACAGATATCTGATGGTTTACCCAGAATTCACTTCCCCTTCTAGACACCGGATAAAAAAGGAATTTTCCACTACATTTATGCGTTAGGTTTCTCCAAATGTTTTACAGCTCACTGTGTAAGTTATATAATATTTCTTTGTTTTCTGTTGATATTAGGAATAGAAAAAGAAGGGCCATTTAAAAACGTGAGTTGCACTAACACAAAATGAACGAATAAATAAACTGATAAACAAAATCAATTTGGAAAAGAATACTTACATTTAAATCCAAGTAACTCTACTCCTCCATTTTAAATGTTTAGGATATAATACAATTCATAATAGACCGAAGTATATAGACTGCATACAAAAACAGCGATCAATGTTCTGTACACTATCCATCATAATTTTTATTTAAAACGACTGCCTCCGTCCTCAGTTCCAGTTCAGCCCTCGAAACGTCAATTTAAATAAAGATGTGGACGCTGGTTATTATTATTATTATTATTTATATTGAGGCACTATGCTACAAGTCGGAAGGTCAAGGGTTCAAGTCCGATGAAGTCATTGGATTTTTTTCAATTGACCTAATCCTTCCGGCCGCACTTTGGCCCTGGGGTTGACTCAGCCTCTAACAGAAATGAGGACCAGGAATTAAATACTTTTCCTGGGGAGTAAAGCGCGGCCGGCGCGTAAGGCTGACAACCTTACCGCTATCTTTGAGCCGATTGTCTAAAGAAAATGTGGGACCCTCAACGTCTCACAGCCCTGTGGGCCTTCACGGCCTGATACAGGGATAGCTTTACTTACAAGGAAGAACTGGGTTCTCTCCGTATGTTCTATCGCTTGGCGGTTTTAATCTTCTTCACCGTTTCTGGTTGGGCAACCCACGTTTGAGTTTTGTAACGGTCAACGAAGCCAGGAGATATTTTGCTACNTTGGAAGCTACCTACACACAGAACAACACAAACAAAGAATAAACGTGTACATAGACATCCATGCCTTGAGTGGGATTCGAACCCACGATCCCAGCTTTCGAGCAAACGAAGACAATTGATGCCTTAGACCGCGCGCCCACTTTGATGGGCAGGACGCTGGATAACGTCCAGAAAATCGACCAGTCTATTACTGTCTCAGTCACGAACTTTCGGACTTAATTTGTATAGAAGAATGTTAAAAGTATCCCATAATGCCAGGTGCTGAACTGAACACTGAACTATCAACACAAACGTGAATACATATTAAATTATGAAAAATTACGTATTATAGCGGAAAGAAACAACAAAATTTCACGGATATGATATGAGGATCGGCAATGGTTAATTAAGGAACTATGCACTCGTCACGTAGGCCTATTCAAAGAAATTACAGAGTAGCGAGCTTGTATCATATCAACTGCATACATATTCACATCTAAGGCCTTCTGTTGAACAGCGAATTCATCTTTGCTCGTACTGCGAATCTTCAACGAATCAATATTTCCCAACATGAGAATTTTATCATACATTTCTAAGTTACTTGTTTCGTTCGATCTAGATGTCCCCTCACGTCGCAACAACAGTTTGTCAATATCCCTCTGTTGGGATATGGTTACAGAATGCGAGAATGTTTTGTTTTCTCACATATGAACTGCACTGTTACTATGTGTATAACAACTGTAACAGTGCACAGTGTTTCACAGCTAAAGTTCTAAACAACAGAGGGTACAAGACAAGCTTTCAACGAAATACAAGTTATGACGAATGCCTGGCACACGTAACTTTTAAATACATCTTAAATACTATAATTACTGCAGGAGGGTGGAGGGGGAGTACAACGCCTTCTGCACACCGCAACACAACATCAACACTCCAATATACAGTAGGAGTAACAAAGGAACTGGGTATCGTACCGTAAGTTTCATTTGGTTAAAAAAAGTAAGGCCCACTGTGATTACTTATTTGCCATTTTGCGCAAGCCCTGAAATTTAGGGTTTAAAAAATATTGTAGTAGGAAGGAAGGAAAAACGTTTTTTTTAAATAAAAAGAAATATTTCATCTTACAATTAATGTAATTTACTAGATTTTGCTCTGAACGTCTGATATGCATACTGTGAACCTACTTTCTGCACATGCGAAAGTTCTGGCGCCCTTGTTAAGACCGCACACTGCAACAAAATTCTAGTGTACCACGCAGGAACCCAAATCCTAAACATGTGAACAAGGCTATTTCCGCCGTCAGGGCAACTGCCTTTTATTTTAATCATACAATGGCTAGACGAATCATACAATGGCATGTCAGTCACCTAACTGAGCAGAAATAACTTGGAATATCTTTACAGTGTACTATCACATACAAGTCAAACGCAATTTGCACCCGCCTTACAACTACCAACCTACAGTTACCAACTACCAGTTTGTCTTCCACACAGATATGATTAAACTTTTTTTCTTTTC